AACATAAGGTTTCACAATCCACCTGATTACTGGTGCGCATCTGTAAAGTATCAAACTAATTTTATCAAAGTTTCAATTTCTTTTAAAGCCAGAAAAAATGGTCCTTCACCCATAAATCTACTGTTAAATTTGAGTATAGAGTTGAAAGCAAATTACATCCGGAAACGGTTTAATGCGCTTCAGTGGAAATAAAACATGGCGTAAGTCATTATCCTTCGGTAGACGGTATCTCAGATTTTATAATTGAGCATGACAGTTAGAGGTGTTGAGAATTTATGTAACAATGTTTGGAGCTTTCTATGTTATTATCTAAATTAAGTAAGGTATTGCAGATTACTAGTGTTTAATATTCATTGAAATCAATGATTGTAACTAATCACCAGTTTTTAAACTGAATATGATTTGTCCAATTAAGACATTGTAACAAGTCCAATTAAGACATTGTAAAAAATTTTCCTTTTACTGATTAGATTTCAAGCGGACTCAGCCCGAACTTATACCTTTATCTTATGAGTATGCTTTTATTCAGTCACTCAAATATTGACCATCAGCTTTACCAGAGTTATGTGTTAAATAATCAAACTTCCCATGTTAAGTCCAAAACCCATGTCCAGGGAAGGTCTTTAATAAAGCAGTAAATGTTACACTCGCCTGCATCGTCGTTAGATGTGCCAAATAATATGTAAATACTTAGAGTCAAGAATTTTACAAAAAAAAAGAAGAAAAAAAAGTTAAACAAAAGTATGCTTACTTAACATCTGAACGACTTGGTTGAATTGAAGTAAAAGAAACTAGGTTTGCTGTTCGCAAAAATTTGACAGTTAAAAATAATAATAAATTAATAAACGTTTGGTTGGATTCAGATTTTTGTCATTATTTTTCAATGAGATTTTGTCGTTTATTCGTTTCCATACGTTAGACCCAACAAACAAAATCAAAACTGAGAAAAACAATTTATAAGATTTAAATTTAGACTTTGAAAAAAAATATTTGATTATAATATTTTATTAAAGCAATTGAAAACTAGAAACAAAAATAGGTATAATTTCCTATAGAGAATTTGCTGAATGTATTCTTTAATTGAAAAGCATTAATTAGTTGTGCTAAAAATAGTAACATTGATAGATGATACTACGAACATCAAATAAAACAATTTCGAGATTTTTTTAATGATGGTTATTTATTTTTTTCCCCCTAATTTCAACCACATCACTAAATAACAGAATTAAAAGAATTAGTTCTTAAAGTTCC